AAAAATGTTCACTAATTTCAACTAAAAACAAAATTGTTCACCAGTTTTTCTTTCTAAAAACATTTTTAATCAAATTCATAATTTGTTTCTAGAAAAACTCAAATTTTACAAACAACTCTTTTTCAAAGTTTTTTCCAAATCTTTCCTAAAAGAAATAATTGCTTTGTCCAAAAATAATTTATTTTAAATTAACGGCAAATTTTTTCATAATATTGGTAGTAATTATTTTTTTTTTTTGCGTAGTGGATAGCAGTACGCGCATTCCCGGGGATCAAGCCCTGTTCAAAACAACAGCGCGAAAAATATAGATAAAATTGTTTGCCCCTCGGAAGGCAATGGCAAACTTTCGAATTTATTTCTGCCAGGTCCCTCCCATTTGTGTGACAACATCAAGGCGCACGCCACAAATTCGGAGGAGAAGCTCGGCCAAACACTAGCATACATATCTATGAGCGCCAATCTAATATTGTTACAATTTTCCTAATAAACTTTTCCCCACATAATTTTTTTCGTAAAAAATCTTACAAATTTCATTTTTCTTTAAAATTATGTTCATAAGAACTAATTGTTCTCTTAAAATTATTATACTAGATGTATTTTTTTTAATTTTTATACCAAAAAAAATTTTTCTCGAAAGAAATAAATTTTTTAGGAATTTTTTTTTCTCCAAAATAATCTTTGTTTCCGATAACAATTTCTTCTCAAATTCGGGTTAACATATTTTTCCTATTTAAAAAAACTTCTTAAACACTATCTTCTATAAGCAATTCAAATTGAAAAAAAAATTATCAATTTTTCTAATTTTAATAAAAAATATTTTTTTCCAAAATTTCATAATAAAAGCAGGTAAATAAACCGGAGGCACATTCTATAATCAGAAAATATAACACTACTAAAGCACACAAATATCTTATGAGTGGTTTTGGGGAAACATGTTTCCTTTGGTCTTGAAAGGGTTAATAAAATTTGTGAAATATAATGAATTTTCGGTAGACCGTGACCGCACCAAGGAGACGGCTGACTCAAAAAACCCTGAACCCAATCCTTCAACTTCTAGACAGCTGACCTCCGGAAGGCAACGGTCGGTTGGTAGAGGCGACGGGGGAAGCTAAATGGCTAAAAGCTTTAGATTCTAGTACCAGCACCGAATCATAAGTTTGAGTGATAGCCGCAGCCACTTTTCCGTGAGACGAATGAGATTCTTCAAAAAAATTGGAAGGCTAAATGCAATCCGTGGCTGTTAACAACGCGTTTGTCTTGGGTCAATGGGCGAAGTATTTCGAGAACCTGCTGCTGACATCGGAAATTCTCTCAGGTTGCAAAGCTCTGGAGCTTCAGACGGAAATTACTTTCGAGATCTGTGAGATGATGCAGGACTAGAAAATATTTATATCTGTATCGTTGGAGTGCAGCCTCTACAGCTCCACTGCTGCAGCTCAGCAACAAGGTGTATTCATCTTTCAGTCGTCCAAACTCTCACACAATCATTCCTTCCAATCCAATTTAGCAAACTTAATTATTTTGTTTTTTGTCTACGAGCAAGAACTGACGCCTTATTCGTTGAGTGCCTGCGTCCTCTTCATTCGCTTTATACAAAGTAACAATTTTAGAATGGCTGCTGCCGACATTGTATTTTTTCTTGCTTTTCTTCTTCTTCTTCCATTCATTAGTGCCATATTTCGCTGTTAATTTGTTTTCTCTTTTCCTTGTGTGTGAGACAAAGTTGCTATTCATTTCACGCATTTCCCCAAGAAGCTCATTACTTTGCTTGTTCGCTCATCTCTTAATATGCTTATATTTTTAGCAATGAGGTAAAAGTGAGAAACCCCCTATTGTTAAAAATTTTCAACAATAACAAAGCGCAATGCAAGCCGCTGGAAATAGGGGAAAGGTGAATGTCGTAGATTACTTTGCATTGTTGCAATAACAGAGACATTGGGCGTCATAAAAATATATGTGTTATGTACCCAAAAATGCTTGATCGTGATGATTTAGAAAAATTTGTATCGAAAATGGCTTTAGGGAAGGCAAATAAAAAACTTCATTGGAAAACGAAATAGACGAATTTGACATTGAAATTAAGGATGAATTGGATGATGACTTCATCGAATTTTTCTTGGAAAACTCAAGTTACTAATTTTTCATTAACACTCGAAAAAATCATAATTTTTTAAATAGCTTTAGTAAGTTTTCAGATAGAATTTTCATATTAGAAGCAATAACAGTTGGCATCAAATACAACATCCTGCGAAGTTTCAAAAGTGGGCCACCAAATTAAAAAGATTTACATTGATAATAAGATGACGATGATTTGCGAAACAAAAATTAGAAATTTTAAAATTTTCATTGGCACACTCAAAATTGATTCTAAAATTTTTATACATAAAGAAATTACTATATATATTCGTGAAAAACGCTGTCAAAAAATCAGTGTTGCCAACTTTTGAGTTTCAAAAAGCACCAAAACTTGGAAAAAAAACGTTTTACCACACTAAAAGCAATACATTTTTTTTATCAAAGGATACATTTTTCGTAACAGTTTGTATTTAAATAAAGAAAAAAATAAACCATATTTAAAAGTATCCCACTGGGAAAATAGGTAAGCACCTTACGAGGTAAGCCATGTTTTCTTTCAGTTTTGAGTACCAAAATTGTCATCACGGCCAATGTCATCTACTAGTAGAGCACAAAATGAACACCTCCAACGACAAATTACGTTTTTAGTTGCAAAGTAACGTGCAGCCGAAGTTATCTCCAAGCGCCGAACTACTCCGAGCGACTTCTCTGCATTACACGTAACTTAATTTGTAAAGCGGCTCAGAAGTATGTCTGATACCAAATGTACATTCTAAATTCCTACTTACATAAGGAGGCCATGCCTTTGTAAAAGTAAGGGACGTTCGGCAGGGAAATGGTAATGGCTGCCAGGTGAAGAGTAAGTTGCTAATAAGGTATTATTACGTGCTCCTAATTCCCACTGGGATAAATCAACACAAAACTATTTCGCTCACAACGATTGAATAGCCTCTACACATGCTATTATGATTCATGCTTACGAAGTAATACCGAAGTACAGCACATTAAGACTGGTATACATATCTCGAGAAAGATAAATCGAATCGCAACAAACTAAAATGAGCTTAGAAGGGGAAGAGTAACACTAAATGATGCAATAAGTAGAAAAAAATTGCTGCTTTCATAATACAACCTCAAATATCGCCAAAAACCGTGTTTTTAGCACTTTAAGGTAAGGATATCTCAAAATTCTGACGTACTAAAGAAATTCTGGATTCAGCACCAAAAAATCTACAAGAATCGATGCATTTTACTCAGGTGACAAAAAAAGTCAAAATTTGTCAAACTGTGTACAAATAATTTGAAAATAACTTAACTTACATTTTCAACGCGAATACAAGTTAACAAGAACGTGGGTATGACACTTCAGCTTTTTATCGATCAAATTTGCTTTTTTGTGCATTTAAATTTGTAGATTCTTGTCACAGCTTAAGATATTTGGAATTATTTCATGTTTTAACTATGTATGAGAAATTTGGAGTTCGAAAAAAGGCAGTAAAAAAGGCATTAGGCACTAAACCATTTTTTTTTGCGGTTTAATTTTCAAAAAGCACTAAATCTAGTGCTTAAAGCACCAAGTTGGCAACTATTACTTTTAAATAACATGACTTTAACACGTTCGCTACCAGGCGTCACATACATATATGTGTCAGCTGGGTGGGTCACGTGGGACCGCCGACACAAATGTGTGACGCCGGCTTAAAATAATTATATTATATTTCCATTCACCACCGTGAGCGATAGCGGGTTGTTGGATACAGTATGGTCTATAGAAAGGTTTTGTATTTTTGAAATAACAGTGAGTTAGATAAAACCCTGACGTTTAGTCTGTCACATAAATGCAACCCTTGTCTATGCCAAAAAATAGTTCTATAGACTAGCGTCACAAATATGTGTCAGGCTTAAAACAATTACTTTAATCATGAATTGGAGTTTTTGTGACAAATAACAATGACAACCAAAAATCCGCAACACTAGACAAAAACAAATAACATTCTACCTAGTCTGTGATGACGCACTGCTTAAATACGCTTGGTAGCGAACGTGTTAAAGCGTGCGATTAAACGTGTGTGGTGCTACGGGGCGTATACGTCATATACACAACTATGGGTATATGTATGAGTACGAGTGGCTATTTTTTTACTTTTTCTAGTATATGTTTCTTAAGTTTTCATTTAAATACAATTTCGCAATGAAATATTGTTCTTCATACAGAACTGAAGACAGTGCACTGTCTAAGGTAAGTGTGATACCATTTTCCACCAAAAACACGTTTTTGTTAAAAAATTTAACAACTGGTGATATTTTCTCATATAAGTTAAATCATATAAATGAAAAAGAAAAGTTGTGATTGATTTTTGTTCCCAAATAAAATATACCATCCTCTACTCCACCTCTGCTTAGCTTTGCAGTGGTAAATTTCGGTAATTCTGCTTCTGATTTTCATGAGCAAGGCGCATATGGGTCACAGTTAATGTAATGCACAGTAATGGTAATGGATACCAGTAATGGATTATGGTGATTTCGGGTTGATGAAAACTTTAGATCAACTCTCTCCTACGGTCTTTTGCAAGCCTACATATACACTAAAATCCAGTAAACTAAAGATAAAAAATTCCATATCGAGTTATCTGGCTCCAGAGGTCCAGAGGAATTTCTTTTAGTTATTTTGGTCTCTATTTAATCTTCAAAAAACACTTGGAGTTATGACTATTATTTGCATAGCCTTTCTTTTAATTAAACACATCACGCAAATCTATTTTTTTCTACTTTTACATGAGAAAAGAATAGAATTTATACTTAAATAGAATTTTTTTTTTTTGAAATATAGTTTTGAATAAAAAGTTATATAGTAAATCAGCTTGGCTGATGGGGTTATAGCAATTTCCCGGACCCCCTTATAAAAGCTTCGAAGATCGACTTACCGAAATCACTGCGCCTGGTCTGAGCTTCACTAAGTTAGCCTGAAAATATACAAAAAATATGAAGTTGATGAAATTTACTTCTTACAAATATGATCCGATTTTTTACTGGAAAAATATATGTATGTACGTATATACTAAAATTAAAATATATTTTGTTCAAATTAACTTAATTTTCCGTAAAAAAATGCTTTAGCATCTGTTATGGTTGCGCAAATTTTGTATTTCCGTAGGCACTAGTTTTGTTGCTGTGAAGATAACATTTCGAGGAATTTGGCGCTCAAAGTTAAATTTCACTCACTTATTTTTTTTTTCTGTAAAAAAAACCGTGAATTTGGTTAGCCAATGAAACTCACTTTCGGCACGAAAATTATCAAGATGAAATCAAAGATAAGCAGCGACACCTTGTCTACTAACTAAGTACACCAGAAGCTATGCCAGACCAACAGTCTATTACAAACAAAGAGCTGTCAGCCATTCCAGTCACATGCGCGCATAAAGATTTATACAACTAGTCACCTACTTTGGCAACTGCGATGACACCCAAAATAAAAATAAAAATAAATAAAAAACCCGTCAAACAAAACAATGACAATCGTCTTATCTGCGTAATCAGCTGGCAAAGCATGCGAACTGCCATCAACCAACAAAAGTGTTGCCTCACTCAGCAATCAGGTGTTTTAATGTCAAAACAAATCGTAAAAAAGTACGCGCCACTTTGTGATGTCATTTATACGCCCAGCGAAATGCGAGCGTAAAAATACCAACTTATAAATCAGCCAAAAACAAAAGGTTGGAATAAAATCGTAAAAGAAATAAATCAAATCGAAAACAAAACTTTACGACGAAGATTCATGCGTTGGAGTGCGCTGTCAGCGCTCATGCACTTAATCATTTAATTATGTATGTATCTAGATATGTATGTACATATGAACACACAAAGGTACATTTTGTTATTGTATGCTGCTCTTGCGCATTTCACAGCTCACTTTGCATACAAATCTATCACAGCGAAAATGTGTCATGAATTATCGCGCCGTTGTATCGGTGTAACAGTGCGTATGCGCAACGCATACGTAATTAATTGCATCGCTGGGGTTTCGGCGAGCATAAATGCAAATAAAAGGCGAAAGTGAAGTGCTTGCGAGACTTCTGTTGCTTTTCAAGAGACTGCCTTACTATTGGGCTTGGGTATTGTTGTCGTTTATTGGCACAGCGTTGCTTTAAGCTGCCTTTGCACGGGTCGATTTCCCAGTCAATTTTTGTCGTTCAACCAAAATCGACCAGTATAAATGGCAATTCAACCGTAAAATGTAAGTGGTCGTCAAAAATCGACCCGTGTAATGGCAGATTTATTGGCTGTTTGCTTGATATGTTGGTACTTGTACAAAGACATCCAGTTCGAATAAATAGTAATACTTTCTTAATTTTATATGGTTGAGAACAGCATGGTGCAGTAATTTGAAGTTTTTGAACTAAGGTGAGAGTACCCGTACACTCTTTAGTTAATTTATTATAATCTATGATTTATTTTGCTTTTTTTAATTTCATTTTTTTTCAACTTTATTTTTATTTTATTATATTTATTATAATATTTTATTTATGTTATTTCTTTTCCTATTCTGTTCTTCAATTCTTTTCCCTTCTCTTCTTATCATTTATTTTATTTTATTTAGTTTTTATTTTCTTTTCTTTTATTTAATTTTTTGGTTTATTTTATTTTATTAATAATAAAGGAATATACTTATGGGTCATTCCATACAATATTAATACCTTAATATCTTTTTTGGGATGAAATATATTTTTTTACATTCTTTATCGAAAAAAAAAGACAACACCTATTTTTTTAGCTTTTTTTCAATTGTTCAGTTAAGGTTCAAAATATGCGTAATTGCATCGGCTTTGCATTAAAAAATTTTATTTTGTATTTTTGATTTTTGTTATTAACTTCACCATGTTTGATTTTTATTTGCTTCAACCTGAATAGTTGTCAGACTTTATGGAGTACGCTGTAAAAATTTGGATAAGGAAACTCCAAAACTGTAGAAGGTACGAGTCTGAAAAAAAAAATAAAAATCAAACATGATGAAGTTAATAAAAAAATGGTAATCACGCACATTTTGATACCTTTGAAAAAATATACTTCTCTGTAAGTTAAAAAATTTCGGGAATTTTTGTTTCAAGATTTTGGAATAACACGACGAAATAAAACAATAAGTGTCTTCTTTTTTCCAATAAAGAATGTAAAAAAATATATTTCACCTCAAAACAAATATTGCGGTGTAAATATTGTATGGAATGACCCTTATGTACAATAGTCAAATTTTTAACAAAAGTTTTATTAATTGGTTATTTTAAAAAAAATTGTTGTTTTTAAGCGCAAACATTTTCTTTTTCACATCTATTTAGATAAACCGTTCAAATAAAATAAAATTCAATTAAAACGCAATAAAGTAGCTACGCGCTATACAGCGCTGTCAGATATAAACATAAAAACTCTGTACGACATTGTCACGCTGCAGCGAAACAATGAAATCCACAAAATCTGAAGGATAAAGCAGCAGTTAATTGCGGCAACAAAAAAATCCGGCGTAATAGCAGAGAAAAACCGCAATGATGTCAGCCAGCGCAGCGAGCGTAGATGGGGACGGTGTCACAAAAAAAAAAATATTAATTAAAAAAGCAAACCGCAGAGTTCACACTACACATACATACATACATAGTTAAAACACTAACTAACCAGCAGAGCTGGTGAGAAAGCGAAGAGATGGAGAACACCTGACAATAAAGTACAAAAATATCGAATCTTCAAGAATTATTTAGAGTGTAGTTATTTAAGAAATTTAGTCAACTCAATTTGCACGCATACAACTATCAAATTAAATTTTATTATTTTATTATAATCTATCGTAATTTATTCAAAAAGCATATGTATGTATTCAATGAACACTATCGTTCTTTTTCCTTACCAATTATAAACCAACTTAATTTTCAATTTTACAACAAAATCAATTAAATTTATGCAAAAAAAAAACATTAAGCTTCGATTTATTTGTAGAAGTTCAAAACCACAAACTTATTTAATATGCTAATCATATTTGATGAGATGACACTTATGGCCGAAGCAACAAAAGCAATAATGCGTGAAGCTAAAATGAGGCAAAATAATGTACGATGCATAAGTAAATCAATGCTGGAATTTAATTAGTCAAATAATAGCGCATCTCCATAACAATAAACGTAATTTACTTGCTTATATACATAGATTGCATAAATAAATGAAGTGAAGAAGAAAAACAGCGCAGCTAGCGGAGGAGAAGCAGTTTCTTTAAATTAAATACTTTATTTGGTATGAATTTACAAATGAAAAATTGAGGTAAATTTAAACTTAAGATTGAAATGCAAATAAATTTAGTATTTTAGAAACAAATGTATATATACATAGTGGTACATTTTAACGACAGATAGTGTATTTCTTTTTTTTTTTTGTGCAAAGTTTGAAACATTGACTTTTATAATATTTTCTTATAGAATAAACTATGTTTTTATAAAAAAAAAATAAAAATTGTATTAAATATTGTCGATATGTGTCCTTGAGCCTACGATTTACGGACTCAGTTTGAAAAATAATTAAGTCTCACACCAATTATTTCCTTTAAAAAGTCGATAATTTTACGCGCTTTATGGCATTCAGCGCCGTTTTCCTGTTGGAAAACAAAGTGACCAATAAAAATTCCATCCGATTGAGGTACGAAATAATCCGCAGCCGCAGCCATTTCAATGATAATTAACATGTCCATGGAGCCTAAAATTACCGTCGTCACTGGACTGCTCATTTCCTCCTTAGGTGTCAGCCCTATTTAGAAATACTCTGGGATGAATAGTACATATATTGTATTGAGTACTGTGTATACATACAACACTCTAAACAAAATTTCATTTAAATTTGCACATATTAAGATACATAGGTAACCAGTTTCCTCTCTTAATGAATGCAAATTTACACGCCCTGTTAATTGAATTAAACACTGCTGTAAAAGTAAACTTACGTATCAAATGTGTGCGTAGAACAAATTTCAAATTTATTTATAAAGTTCTAAACATTTATGGTTCAAAATTTCACAGTTTTACATAAAATGTTTAAAATTTGCTCTAAAAAATGTTTGTTTAAATTTACGCATATAAAGCGAGGTAACTAGTTTCCTCTCCTAATGTGTGCCAAATATAAAATTTGTCACGTAGAAAAAATTACACAAAAAATCTTTAAAATTGAGTAAATATGAGCACTTAGGGTTTATTAATAGTAAAAAATAAATTTTTACTTTATATTTTTTTTTTTTAATTTTTAAAGATTTCAAGCGTATATTTATGTGTATTTTTAAGTATCCCATGTCCAAATTCAATTCTTGAACATCTTGTGCGTATATTTGCACAGGTTCTGGTTAAAAAATAAACAGTTTTCATTAGCATTTTTACATGCACTTTTTAGAGTGTACATATGAACATCCAAAAAAATGCTCATTAAAATTTATAAAATACAAATTTGTATTACACAAAAAAAGACGTGGCAACCCTCATCGAAAATATTTTTGCATTAAGGCTTTTAAAAATATTCGATATCCGTACTGCGTTACTTTAGTAACATTTTTAAGAATCGAAAATAAGTAGCAACCAGGGGATAACACTTGGTGTTTAGGAAAAGCTTTGCTTAAGAGTCTTACTTTGGTATCCATGAATAATATTATTGTATCTTTATTTTGCTAAACAAAAAATTTAATACAAATACCATTTAACATAGGTGGCAACCCTATACTAAACTATTTCGGAATTGGATATTTATTAAATACTTTCCATTTGATACGTATATCATAATGTTTTATTTAATTTGTAACTAGTTTGGAATAAGTGGCAATCTTATACGAGTATTCTCAGCGATATTTCCTATCTAGATAACTTTAAAATGCAAAACATTATACGAGCACGAAATTACATCAAAATCATTAAAGCCCGGTTTAGAGAAACCTAGGGATATATATGAGGCCA